TTCCATTTTCTAGTGTCTTTCTTTTTCTTCATTTAAAGTTTTTACTATAAAGGGCTTTTACCTCTTTTGTTAGCATTATTATTAGATACCTTCTGAAGCTACTGTGAATGTTTTGTACACAATCTATTTCCAGCATGTTTGCATTGCTGTAGAGAAAGGCTATTTATTGACTTTTGTAAGTTGATTCTGTATCCCATCATTTTGATGAACAAGTTGATAGTTTCTAAAAGTTTTCTGATGAAAATTTTGGTATTTTTGTGTTTAATATATCATTTGAACACAGGGATAGTTTGAATAGTTCTTTTCCTACTTGTATCCATTTAATTTTCTTCTCTTTTCTTATTGCTTTAGCCAGTGCTTCAAGCATTATATTGAAAATGAGGAGTGACAATTAGTGGACAGCCATGTCTCATTATGGATTTTAACGGCACTATTTCGGGGTTTTATTCATTAAGATGCTTTTGTCTGTGGGTTTGCCATATACAGCCCTTATGATGTTGAGCTATATTTCTTCTAGCCCTACTCTGTTGAGGACTTTTATCAAGAAGGTATGTTGGATATGTTGTCAAATGATTTTTCTGCATCTATTGATCTGGCCATGACTTTTTGTCTTTAAGTCCATTATATGATTTATCAAATCTTTTGACTTATGTACATTGAACCATCCCCAAATCTCTGAAATAAAGCTAAGTTTATCATGATGCATAATCTTTTTCTATGTGCCTGCATGAAATTAGCAAGTTTAAAATCTTAGATCAGACATACAAAGAAAGAAGTCTGCATGGCCAGGTCTCATCACAAAAACACAAACAATGAAAAAGACCAAGACAGTATAGATCCCTCAAATCTATCATTCCTACAGAAATTTCTCCAATGAGAATTACCTAAACAAATTAGATGAAGCAGAACTCAAAAGAACAAGCATAAATTTCATCAGATAATTCAAGTAATTAAAAGAAGACACAAATAGTTTAAAGCTTAAATAGAATAGTAATAAATGTCCAAGGGATTCCCGAGAAAATACAAATATGTAAAGGAATGAATTGATAAAGGAAATCCATGATTAGACAACTGAATTCAATAAAGAGATAGAAATACCAAAGAGAACGCAAATGGAAACGAAGATGGAACTCAAAAACTCAGTAACCAAAATGGGGGACATAGCACCTGAACCAGCCATCTTCTTTACAAGGCAAGGCCTTGACCTACAGTTTGTCCTGCCTGTACAGTATTCTAGAACTGCACCCCAGTAGAATTGAATTATCACCAAATAGATCAGAGAGACCAACTAATGATGGGAACACACAGGGAGTCCTGCAGGAGGGGGAGGAAGGGTCTGATAAACCAGAGGGATCATGGACACCATGAGAACATGGCCCACAGAATCATCAACTGAGCAGGGCTTTGGGGCTCACAGAGACCAGGAAGCCTATAAGGGTCTGACCTATGTCCCTCTACATGTATGTTATGGCTGAGTAGCTTGATGTTCTTGTGGAATTATCAACAGAAGGAGTGGAGGGTGGGGGGCTGTCTCTGATTCTTTGGTCGACTTGCCTCTTACTGTGTTGTCTTGTTCAGCCTTGATGTGCTGGTATGTGCCTGGTGTGATAGTAGCTTCTGATGCCATGTTTGGTTGGTGTCCCTGGGATGCCTGTTATTTTCAGAGGGCAGGCAGAGGGTGGGGTGGGTCTGGAGGAGAGGGAAGGTGGAGGGGAGAAAGAGGAAACTGTGCTTGGGATGTAATATATGAGAGAAGAATTTTTAGAAGTGTCACAGAAAATAGAATTAGAAAGAGAGAGATTCAAAGAATTTTAAAAACAGTTTTTCTGGCAGCTTATTTGACATAAAAGTGATTAGACTCAGTGTGGACACCCTTCTCCCTGCCTCTCATACTCTTTAACAGCTATTGTGAGTGCTTCACAGGTAAGATTGTGGGTGCTGTCTCCAAGAAGCTTTGGTGGTTTGCAGGGTCTTTATTCTTAATTAAATATTGTTTTTAAATATTAAAAAGGAGAAATAGTATTGAGTTACTTTTTTCCTATTCCTTATTTCTTGAACACTTCAGACTGAAGAGAGGATTAAGTGAAGATACTCCAGAAAGACTAATGAAGCCATGACTACTGAAACATTAAGTACAGTCAAAGACACAAACAACAAAACAAAATAGAAACACTTTTCAATAATATTAATGGCTTCAACTCTTCAATCTTAAAACACAAGCTAGTTGAATGGCTTGAGAAACGAAATCTGTCTTCATATTGTCAAGAAGAAACTCATCCTACTTGAAAGACAGGTACCACCTGAAAGTGAAATGATAGTTTAAAAAGTATTCCAAGGGAATGGGACTGGGCTGCAGGCAGATGTTGCTGTTCTAATATTTAACAAAATAGACATTAATCTAAAAGTAACCAGGAAAAAATACAGATTGTCAGTTTATTCTAATCAAGGGGACAGTTATCCAAGATACACACACACACACACACAAACACACACACACACACACACACACGTCAAACTCTGGTGCATCCAATTTCATAAAAGTGCAATATTGGAATTAAAAATACAGATTAACACTAACCCAATAATTGTAGGTGACATTATCAAGTATTTTCCAAATCAAGCAGTGTGATGAATGATAAAAGCAGCTTTTATCTCCTTTTTCAATGTTGATTCTTCTATTCAGGGTCTTTGTAATTCTATATGTATTGTAGTTGTGGCTCCTATTCATGTGAGGAATGTGGTTGGAATTCTACTTAGATTACATCTGTAAAATATTTAAAGCAGTTTGAGAAAAAAAAACTTTTTCTGATCCATGGGTGTTAACTAATTTTCAATTTACTTGTGTCTTATTGAACTTCCTTTTTCTTTAACTTACTTATTGCAGATTAGTTTGTAGACATGACATATTTATTCAAACATATTCCTCGGTGTTTTATTGTATTATTGTAGTTATTATAAGTACAGTGGTTTTCATATTTGTTTTTCTCAGTAGTTTTGTATGTAGATATGTTCTATAGTTTTGTGTTTTGATTTTATATTCTGCAAATTTTTGGCTTTATTTATAAATTCTATCTTTCTGGCAGGCTCCTTAGTGGCATTTTTACTTCTTCATCTCTAATTTGGAAGCTTTTATTTCTTTACTTTGGCAGCCTTTCCAGTTGAGTAGAAATGACAAGGATGGCATCCTTGTCTGTTGCTGATCTTAGAGAATGAACATTGTACCATCATTATTGTTGAGTGTGGTGTTAGCTGTGGCCCTGCCACACACAACACTTCTTGTGTTGTGCTGTTTTCTTCCTATTTCTAATTTATGGGACTTTTTTTTTTCAATCATGAAAAGATGTTGACTAAGTCTGATGTCTCAGTTAAGGGCAATTGCTTTGGGCCATCCCCATTTCTTCCTGACAATTGTACAGTTCAAGGAATGTGTCAGAGATTCTTAAGGCTCCTATTAGTGCATTGCTACTCTGCTTATGTTTTAGAATTTGTTTCATTTATTGTTTTCCTCAACAGAAATTATTTTTGACAAATACCCAGAGGTTTTACAATGGAAAAGTTCTGAGTGAGTCTTGAAAGCCCAGTTGTTCAAATGACTACCAGACACTTGGAATAATGGCAACTCATTGGGAAAAAGGTTTGCAAGGCTCTATCCATGATCTACTCTCTCGATGACTAGCAGACTTTTTGTTTTCCTGTGAAGGAAATCTGTTTACTTTCAAGTAAACACAGGAAGATGCTGCATGATGGGAATACTGAGGCCTAGAAAAGCACAAAGCTGACTTTTACTCCAGTCAGCTGGTCTCTCTTGTAAGTGCTTCTTGGTTGTTGCAAGCCTTTGGTTAATCTCCAGAACCCTACAAAACTTCATTCTAGCCACTTTCCAACATTTTCTTGTTGCCATCATAGGAGAGAATCATTGGCGTTTTCCTGCCAAGATGGTTCTTATATACAATTATTTAGTACTTGTTAAAAATATAATTGGAAGAAGTGTTTCTGGTATGGATGTTTATTGGTCACAGTTTAAGTTGGTAAATAAGGAAAACAGCATGGATTACAAATGCACTTTTGGAAAGCATGATGGTATGTGCAGTGGCCAGTGTCCAACAGGTCCCCAGTAAACTTTTTTTCCTGTTTACTCTCTCTCTAGTGGTTCCCTTCTTCCACACAATAAATCAGAGTTGACTTATATGCCCAAAAGAAAAAAAATTACAGCGGCCATAGTGTATAACTATTGAGACTATTTCATGAAATACATTGGTACTTCTACCTTGGCCACTAGGACAATTTGTTCTTGGGAAATCAGGCTGTTGAATTGTGAGGATACTATTGAGTACCCATGCACAGGCCCGTTGGAAAGAAAGTGCTCAGAGCACCCAAAGGTTGCTTGAGTGGCCACGTTGGAAATGAATGTCTGGTCCCAGATCTGCCCTACAAAGGCCCAATGCCATGAATCATGTGATGGATCCTTGTAGTTAGCTTACATCAAGGCCAGACAACCTATTCCTAAATTTTCAACTAAAGGAACCATGAAAAAATAAATACAACATATTGCTTTATGTAACTAAGTCTTATTATAATTTGCACTTTATTAATCCATTGCTATTGTAGTAATACAATAATTAAAACCAGCTCTCTTCACAAAAATATTCTCAACAAGAAGGTAGAAGACAGTTTTCATATAAGTATTCCATGTTGATGACTGTATCCCTGGCATGTTCAAATGATCTGTAACAAATTCATTCTAACAAAATATTATCCTTCTGCAATGACTCCTTTTAAAGTTATATTCAGAGCACAAAGAATATTAACATCACAACTGTTCTCATTTGTTTCCCGACAATGAAACACATGTTACCAAGACCCAAATGTAATAAAATGAAGGAAACCATAATCTTACTTCTGACTATATACAGATATCCTAAAATCCCTAACAAGTGGACTCTAAGAGGGCAATGTTTTCCAGATGTGCTGTTATACTTCCGTAAAGCTGATTTCCATACCTGCAAATAGCGGACTACTCTGCAGACCAGGTCGGGGGCCATGAAATCTCCTGTAAATCGCCAAATGATGTCTGTCAGGATGTTGATCAGTCCTGTGAAGGAGTCTAACAAAAACAAGTACTTCAGTCTCTCCAGAATGTGTGGATAAACTGCAGTGAAAACAAATTCCTGGGGTGGTTTTACTTTCTCTTAGCATAGCAGATGACTGCAGAGGAAAAGGGAAGCAGGAGAGGAGTGCCTTGTCTTTAAATACCAGAGTTTGTTTTCACCTAGAGAGGATTTTAACTGAGGAGGAATCAATAGTCCCAGGAGAGGGGCTTCCACACTAATACAAGTGCTGTGAGACAACTCAGAAGAAGACAAAACTGAAGACAGCAAGTGCTTACAGGATTTATCTCTGTCTTACACAGGGCAAACCATCATATCTTTGTCTAACATGGCTGAAGACAGACTTCTGCAAGTTTTGAAACTTGGTTTGTGTCATAGAATATTTTCCTTTGAAAATAAACTTTATTTCCAGAAAGTTAGCACATGAATATTGTATTTACATTATTTAGTCCCCCTGTCCTGTCCAACTCTCTTTATTTGCTTACCTACCAAATTCATTGCCTCTTTTTAATTCTTACTGTTTTAGGAGCACACACACATCCTACTTAGTGCATTTAGTGTTGTTTGGATATATATGTATAGACATGGTAACCTAACAGAGGCCTCATCCCTAGGGAAAACTTATTTTTCTCTCAGCAGCCATTTATTGCTACAGTGTTGTAGAATTAATATGCCTTCTTAGTGATAAATCGTTCCACACAATTGGAGATTAGTTAAGAGAAAGCTCTTTAATAATAGATTGACCCCCACCCCCGCGCTCGTGCAGCCTGAGACAGACTGGGGTGGGGGGTTAGGGTAGAGCTGGCCCTATGGTTATAAGAGTGGGAGAGTTGTCCCTGACCGGAGTAAATCTAATACACAGGAAAGCAGGCCCTGCAGGCCACCAGGGCAGCATAGTAGAACCAACCTTGCTAGCAGAGCTGTGTGTGAGCCAGCCCCAAAGTTGTGCGCATGGGAGAGATGTCCATTACCCATCTATCATGTGGCAGCATGGGCTGGGAAGAGTTGCCCCTCCACCTCCCCCACCATGCCATCCACATCTGACAGAGACAGCTGGCCCATCCTCATAACAGCAGGAGCGCGGGCCCTATTAGCACAGGTATGGGTGAGACAGCCCCAAAGTTGTAAACATGAGAGAGCTATCCCCAGATCTTATCTGGTGGACCAAAGCTACAGCTGCCCAGGCCCTATCGTAGGGTTATGACTTGGCCTGCCCCAATATCCATCCCATCTATGACTTTCTGGAGCATGGTAAGGAACATGACCTGCAGACCCAAAACTGCAGGATCTCCATAACCCAGAGCAACAACAAGAAACCCAGCATCCATAACGTAATAGAAACCAGGGTCCTCAAAGGAGACCAATGACTCTTTAAAATGAATGCTTGCAAGTATATGGACAAGGAAGTTTATAGAGTGACTCATTGTGTTACACAGCATCTTTCATGATGAGAATTTTAATTTTTTCCCCTTTTCTCTTAAATGTTGTTATATGTGGGGGGTGGCATGCAGGGTTTGAGGGAAGACAGGAAGGAATGGGGGAAATGAATGGGATCAAGATACATGATGTAAAAGACACACAGAATATTCATTTTTAAATATGGTAAAAAAATCATAGCACATACAGCTCTGGCTAATACTCAGAGGAGTTGACCTTGAACAGAAAGTTCTACTAGCTTACATAGGCCTTAGATTCACACATTCACCACACTATCATCTTTATGTCTCTTTCAGGTCCAGGCCCCTCAGATTTTACACTTAAACAGAGTTTGGCACTTAGACAGATGGGATATTCACATAGCAAATTTATTTCCATAATTACTGAAGTGCATCAGAATTGCTCTTTTCAAATAGTTGTTATCCAGGTTTATTCTGCTCACTTGACAGAATTATGCTTTGTCTGATAGGACACAGGGGACTTAATGGGAGACAAGGACTTATTGGTAGTTGTGAACCTGAGCTGCCTCCTTATGCTGATGGTAGAGCAATATTCTTTGGTATAAGAATGGGCCTAATGGTCAAAGTTATCTCCTTTTGTTATGGGATGGAGTCTAATTATAAGTCAATCTTGGTAAATAAAAATTACCAGAAACTGCTGGGCGTTGGTGGCACACTCCTTTAATCCCAGCACTCAGTGGGAGGGAGAGGTAGGCATATCTCTATGAGTTTTAGGCCAGCGTGGTCTACAGAGTGAGTTCCAGGACAGGCTCCAAAGCAATGCAGAGAAAACATGTCTCAAAAAAACAAAACACCACCAACAACAAATTACCAGAAAACTTTGCAACACCACACTTCCATTATTCTACAAAATACTCTTTCTTATAGTTTCTAACAAGCCTGACTAGTAATGATCATTGCAGGTAACACTCCTTTAGCTAAACTCTTTGTATAATTTAATGTTTCCTAAGCAAGTGTGGTGGTTTTAAAGATAATGGCCCCTAAGTTAGTGACACTGTTAGGAGGTGTGGCCTTGTTGGAGGATGTGTGTCAGTGTGTCACTGTGGGGGATATGCTTTGAGGTCTCTTTTGCTCATACTTTCCTCAGTGTGACTTTTAGTCAACATCCTGTTGCCTTTGAGTCAAGATGATGTGGAATTCTCAACTCCAGCACCATGTCTGCCTGCATGCCACCATGGTCCCCATAATGATGATAATGGGCTGAAGCTGTAAGTGAGCCACCCCAATTAAATGTTTGCACTTATAAGAGTTTCTGTGGTCATGGTTTCTCTTCACAGTAATAGAATCCACAACTGAGACATCAAGTTTATGAGTAAATCCTTTATAGCATTAATTTTACTTCCTCGAGTTTTTCTGCATCACTAGCTCTTTATCTAGGTGTGGTAAAATACTTGAAGAATTTTCACTTAAACCCAAGACTTCACAAATGCCTGGAATGTGCTCTAACACTGAGCTCCATACCAGGTACTAATTTACTTTATGTTAAAATATATTAGCTGTTTAAAACAATGGGTCTCATCATTTCATTTTCAGACTTGTATATGCTATATTTAATATTCATACCTGTTACCATCTCCTGTCACATCCCTCTATGAAGTTTATTTACATTTTACAGTTTCTTATTTAACTTATCATTATATGGTCATACCCTCTTCAAATACAGACTTGATATATGAGAGAAAACATGGTATTTGACTTTTTGAGTCTGGCTTATTTTACTTAACAGGACTATTTCTGGATCCATACATATTCCTATAGATGATGTTTTTTATGGATAGACTTATACTGGCATATATAATATGTACATGCATCATACTAAAAAAAAATCCAGTTATCCATTGATAAGCACAAAGCTTTTGCCATAATGGGCTTTGTGCATAGTGTCACCATAACATCTGCTTATCTCTTCCATATGCTAACTTTGATTCCTTTAGGTATATACTTAAGGCTGGCAAAGCGGGTTATATTATGGTTTTAGTGTTCTTCTTTCATTTACATGGTATTAAAATATCTTAACAAAGAACAACTTAGTAGAGGAAGGGTTGATTTGGCGTCAATTCCATGTTCAGCCTATCTTTGAGAGGCAATCAAGGTAGAATTCATGCAGCAAGTCTAGTCATATCCACAGTCAAGAGAAGAGAAAGCATGAACACAGGTCTGCTCTCTTTCAGCTTCTGCTCAGCTGGTTTTCTCCACTCTTATACCCACTCTTATACAGAGCCTAGCCCATGAAAAGAATCCTCCTACATTCAGGGTGGGTCTTCCCTCCCCACTCTTAACCATCCACACAATTCTCCATAGGTGCTCACAAGTCTACCTGACAATTCCCCATCCTACACTCCCTTATCAAGTGGTTCTAGGCTATGGCAAGCTGTCTTATAAAACCAATGATCCCTGTGGAATGGGGGAAGGATGGGATGGGAAGGTGGTGGTGGGGCATGGGAGCGAGGGAGAAAGGAAGGGAGGAAGAGAGGATGGGAGCGAGGGAGGGAGAGGGAACTGAGATCGATATGTAAAATAAGAAAAAAATAAGAAAAAAAACTAATGATCACATTTAGCTTTTTGAGGACTTCCACATTGATTTCCTTAACAGTGGAACTAATTCATATTCCCAGCCAAAGAGTATAAGGGTCTCCTCTTCTTGAATCTTGGCAGCATTTATTTTATTCTCTCTCTCCCCCCCCCTCTCTGTCTCTCCACCCCTCTTGTTTTCTTTCGGTTTTTTGAGACAGCGTTTCTCTTTGTAGCCTGGAACTCTCTCTCTAAATCAGGCTGTCCTCCTGGGAGTGCATCACCACTGCCCCACTTAAAGGGTCCCTTTTCCTTGACTATTGGGAGAATTTATTCTCTTTTGGTTTGCACTTCCTTCCTTCCTTCCTTCCTTTCTTCCTTCCTTTCTTCCTTCCTTCCGTCCTTCCTTCTTTCCTTCCTTCCTCTTTCTTTTTAATTAATTTGTTATTTGACTACTTCATAAATGTTTATAATGTACTTTAACCCCTGTGCTTCCCTCCTCAAACTTTCTCAGATCTTCTATCCATTCCCGTTTCATGACTTTTGGTTTTATTCTGTAACTCATTTAAGCAGGATCATATATGTGACAATTGGATTAAAACCACCTATTGGAGTATGTCTGGGACTTCATTGGGTGTACCATAGAGACAATGACTTCCCCTATCTTTTAATTTAACAGTAGTAAATAGGTCAACAGTAAGGGGTAGGGACACTTGAGCTCCACCTTCATCCTTGCTTGACTGTAGATTGGGCCATTGTTCTTTTTATGCAATACAAACATCCATGGTTGCTGTGAGATTATGATTGGAATGCCTTGTCTTGCCCAGAAGATGCTACTTCCCAGTCCTCATCCTTATTTTCAGTTTTATGATCATTCCAACCCCTGTTCTGCAATGTTCCCCGAGTCTTGGAGAGGGTGTTATAAATGTCTTTTCAGGGCTGAGCACTCATTCATCACTTATACTCAGCACTGGAAAGAGAGGATTTTCTGATTAAGGCTAATAGTAAAGTTTATCTATTGGTACAAA